CGATCAGCTTAAGCCCTAGTTGTCGGGCATCCAACAAACGCCTAAGGGACTGTAGAGGAAGAGAAGTAAGACAGCGTTCAGCGGAGCCTATAGAAGCAAACCTCGTCACCGGTGTAGAGTTTCATGGAGTCCTTGACCATCAGGCGAGAGGAGAGGAGTCCGCGCCACAGGCGAGGCAGAACACCCTCTAAGATCTCTCGTTTCACGAAGCAGACGCCATTTGGTGCGATTGTAACATAATCACCAACAAGCTACAAAAAGTCAAAGTGCACAAGCTAAGCTGTAAATTAACTTTAAACAATTTTCGCATTAGAAATGGCAGCAGTGTGACATAATAAGAAAGATAACGTTAGTGGGAACTGAAAAACATTAATAGGGGTTTTGAAAATTTGGTGTTTACGGAAAGGAGCGGATTGTTTTGCAAATCACCCTTCAGAAGACCCGACCTGTATAAACAACGTGTTCAGGGAGTTTAAAAGACAAAGGTTCATAATATACGCAAGAAGCTATCTGCCTTGTTCGTTTAAAAATGAAACAAGAGATCTTCCCATTGACACGCCTGAGAAGTCAGCTCTGGGACATCGTGATCGGCAGTCGTCGCTCTGCTCTATTTCTCAAGAAGACTCAATTGAAAAGATTAGGTCAGATAAACTCCCAACTTCTGTGGAGTGAATATATCCACCAAGTGGAGTAAGTAAGTCATAACTAAGGTGCTTCCGGGTGCAAGACCTAAGGCCTTTGAGGAGACGCGTGTAGGAGAGGGGGTGGGGGGTTCAGAAAACAAACCTGTAAATCCTCCGGTGTCACAAATTGCTCCAGACATCCAAAGGTAAATGATCCGCCATCGATGCTGTAGGCAGACAAAAAAACACAAAGGAACACTGAAACAGGCGACGAGGGGGCTGAATTAGCCAAACGCTCAGAAGGGCGGTCCGGATAAATTGAGTAAAACAAACTACTAAAGGCACAACAGCCGGCGTTTGTGGTTGAAAGAAGTTAACTGAATTTCACAAAGTGAGGCAAATGTTCGCATTCCAGGTGTGTGTGTAGATAGAGAAGTAGAAGGCACTTCGATCACCGGAATCACAGTTTTACTTGTCTGAGCTTTCGGCCGCGAATTGATTAAAGTCAGGGCCTCAGATGAGAACTCAGTCAATCGATCTGGCACCCGCATACATCGCCCTGCGCAGGCGTCTCCGGACTGATGGTACTGGCGGTT